GGAGAGGCTGGTTGGCCTTGCAACCATCTCAACAGAGCATGAACTTGCCCAGACTATGGACCTTCAGGAAGCAGTTCAAATCTCTGCAACCAAGAACATATGGAAAGCACCACTTTGATTATTCAAACAGATAAAACCAGTGTTTACTATGCAGACAAGAAAAGTTAACTTTCAAATGCCTGAACAGCAAATGTAAGCATTACTTAAAATCTTCGAACAAGGCATTTTAAGTTGTTAGTTTTCCTTTATTGGGGTGAGTAGCAGAGCAGCACCATGAGAGGAGTAGAACAGGAAGAAGGCAGAATAGAGACCTTTCAAAGTTTTGGCCCAAGCGAGAGAGCATGGAGGCATCATTTGAGCTCCCCGCCTCGGGTGCCAAAATGTTGTGGGCCGGCCCTGGTAGGGATGGAGATGGGGAAGGGACAGAGACAGGATAGTGATAAGGAATGGGAATGGACAGGGATAAAATGGCAGTTTCGCCACCACAAAGGTAAAGGGAGGGTAAGTGGAACCCTCTTCCAGCCAGCTGGATGCCCACGTTTTGCATGTGCATTTCAAGTCGAATTTTGAACCCAAGATGCTCAGATACATGTTGGTGCTGTCTGGAGTGGCTCACAACTGTGAGTGCCTACCTCACGGCAGACTGTCAGAAAACATGGCAGACACCCCAAACTGGTGGTATGTTCTATAATTAGATTTCGCCAAGACAGTGACAAATGTGAACTTCTGGATCACTATGCCAGTCTTATCATGGAGTCACAGGCAGTCCACTTAGGCTCTCCAGTCTATCTTGCCACCCAGGCCAGCTGGACATTGTGATAAAAGGTCACTAATACCAAAAATCATATTACATTTAGGTTGCTCCTCAGTCCCAAGAGACCAGTCACTTACCCCAGATCAGCTGGTACTCTGGATCTCACTCCAAAGACAATGCTGGTAGCCAATTCAACAGTAAACCAACAAAAGCTTTATTAGCTAAGAAAAGGAAGTGAGAGTTATTGAGGGGTTAAAGCAGGTAAAATATATGTGCAGGTGAGTCACAGTTTGTAATTCCAAATTGTGGCAGTGATGTAATAAACTGCCAGTTTCCCAAAAGCCTTTTCAGGGTACTCAGATTGTCTCTGGGGATCTGCACTTTGCATCTGGTACACTTCCCTATAAGAACCCAAATAGTCCAGAGATGCAGGATCTTTCCTTGAATCCACCCTTCTAGCTTCTTCTTGCAGAAAACAAGCTGACAGGGTCACTACCCATGCGGGCTTTCCATTTGATGACGGAGAATGAGGAATGCATTTAGAGTCTTTGACCTCCGATCATCACACACCTTGACCACTTGCTTTGAAATTAGCACTTTTCCATTAAAATTTTTCATTTGCATTCCACAAGGCTTCTTTCTCGTTTAATGGGTTATTTAGTTATGGGGCCATACACAATGTAAATGTTCATTACTACATTATAAATAAGGCTGTGAGTCCATCACGGAGGTCACAGACTTTGTGACTTTCTGGGACCTCCGTAACTTCTGCAACGGCTGGTACGGCCGCTGCTGGGGCAGGCCCCCGGGCCAACCACAGCAGCAGCAGTAGTCCCTGGAGCCACCCCCGAGGCCGTCGGAGCAGCAGTCCCCAGGGCCTTGGTGTCAGCCCCTGCCGCCAGAGCAGGGGCCAGCTGTCAGCTGCTGGGGTCCCCCAGAGCAGCGGCACCCCGAGGCCTCCCCCAGAGCAGCAGTGCCCTTTAGTCAGGGGTCTTTATAGTAAAAGTCATGGACAGGTCATGGGCCGTGAATTTTTGTTTACTGCCTGTGACCTGTCCATGACTTTTACTAAAAATACCCATGACTAAATCTTAGCCTTAATTATAACGGGATACAGATAACTGAAAACAACACAAGTAACATACCACTAGTTTTCATGAAGTTTAAACACCAAATACACTCTTATACATTTAACAGTCAATTTGATCACTTTGATACACAAGTGAATTGGCCTGGGGCTCTGGCATGAACTGATACCTACTCTGCCAGCATCCACCCCTCTTCCATTTATTTTTTAAAATCTCATTATTTTTAATCCACCCATGATTTGGGGGGCTCTAACTCAAGATTTCTGAATGAGGACAGCAATACCATTTCAGTGGCCTCTGTCTCAAACCATTAGAGTTACAAACTATAGCACACCCTACCAGAAAGCCTGAAATGCCATATTACCAACAGAGTACAACATTATTTCTTGAGAGAAGCCTCTGAAATCATGCTGGCATTTAAGCATGTGCATGTAGGGGGATTTTATTGTTCAATATCTTGTAGTCATATGATAGCTGGCATTTGTTTCTTCTCCTTTCTACTCAGATAGGAACATTCTTTTCTAGCTGTGATAGGTCTTGAGCTAGCTGACCTTACGGGTGTCTCTAGTCACTCAGTCAAGGCGTGCTTTTTGACACTCATTCAAGACTTAAAGGAAGACTTGGACCTCAGACCAGTGTAATTTTCTATCCTTGGTTCACTCAGTCAACTTTTATCAACCGAATATATGCCTACTGTATTGATATCAAGTAGTAATAGTTTAATTTATTATGAAAGGTACTTGGATGCCACGGTGGTGTGCACAGGATAAAAACCTATATCGAATAGAACAATTTTTTTTTAAATAACTCTTTTCCTGTTATGTGCAGCATGCCTAAGTAACAATCTGTCAAACAGTTATTACAAGATGCATATATTGTATGCCGCACCACCAAAAATTCCAGTTCTCTTTCAAACTCTTGAATGCCAAGTTTAAAAGTATATTGCTATGTGATAGTTCCACAAGGTAAAGGTTTCCTTTGTGATTCATGCATTCCTAGGGTTCATTTCCTGAAATATACACACACACACACACACACACATGAATGCAACTAGTTGTGTCTACTGTGCATGCAAATTTTCAGTACTTGGAAGACACTTATAACAAGAAAATTAAGGTTAAGCACATTTTCACAGCATGGAATTTTAATTTGTTTGTAAACTTAAATAAACAGCAAATGGGGACCTTTACATCTGCCAGTGCTTAAGGTTTCTAACTAAGGGCAAAATTCTGCAGGCACCCTCCACTGTGTAGAAGGGTGCTAAGCAGCTCAAGTCACGTGAAGGGAAGGGTAGTGTGCGATGGGTAAGTGGAGGGGAGCCCCCAGAGCCAGTGCTAGGCATAAGCAGACTAAGGCTATGGCTACACTACACAGCTTTTAGCGACATGGCTGTGCCGCTACAGCGGTGCTGCTAAAAGGCACGGCAGCGGCTTTGTCGGCAGGAGAGCGCTCCTGCTGACAAAGCGTCGTTCACACCAGTGCTTTTCGTGGGTAAAACTTTTGTTGTTGGCGGTGGGGGGTGTTTTTTTAACCCTCTGAACGACAAAAGTTTTGCCGACGAAGTGCCAGCGTAGACATGCCCCAAGCAGTTGCTTAGGGCCCTGAGCAGCACAAGGGGGCCCTGTATTCACTTCTGATGATAAGAATTTACCTGTTTTAGTATTGGAGAGGGGGAAAATTCCTACTTAGGGCCCACAATGGGCTAGCACCAGCACTGGGAGCCACAGCTGGCTAATAGGCTGCTTCTGCTTAGCAACATACTGGCCACTCCACATCTCCACTCTTTGTTTCTCCACACACGCCCTATACAGTCAATCAGCATCAGTACTGGATCTAAACAGCAGCCTATTACAGCCTCTGACTGACCCTCATCCCAAAGTGATAATCTTTCTCCTCCCTTCACACTGATACCCTGTAGCGCTCCTCTATCAATGCCCAATTAGGCAATAAACCTAACCCCCATTCCTTCCTTTTTCAATGAGTCTCCTCCAATTCAGCATTTTCCACTTTCTCTCCTTTTTCCTGCTTACTCTACAGAACCAGGCCCTTTTATGGCGGGACTCTCATATTCCATTTACGTTTGCATGAGTTGGGGAATTAAAAGCCACATTTTCTCTACAGGGTAGGGTTCTATTCCTCTGTCCCAGGTCTTCACACAGAGCAAAATGCTCCTCTCTGGTCCAGCCCAGAATCTCTGTGTTGTCTGCAAAACTTTCATTCAGCCATCAAGTTATTAAGTATTTGCATTCATCCACCCAACAAAAAAGTACAACAGTATCAGAAAGTAGAGAATCCCTGTTTTAAACTTACGGTATATACTCGTTCATTAGCTCGTTCATTTATAAGCCGACCCCCCAAGATGGTTAGGTAAAAATAGCGAAAACTGTATGACCCTTTCATTAGCCGACCCTTATTTCAGGGGTTGGCAAACTTTGGCTCCTGGCCTGTTAGGGTAAGCTGCTAGCGGGCCTGGACGTTTTGTTTACCTGGAGCATTCACAGGCACGGAGCCCCTCAGCTCCCAGTGTCCGTGGTTTACTGTTCCCAGCCAAGGGGAGCTGAGGGAAGGGCCTGCAGACACTCCAAGTAAACAAAATGTCCGGACCCACCGGCGGCTTACCCTAATGGACCATGAGCCAAAGTTTGCCAACCCCTGCTATATTTTAAAAGCTGGCATCACAAGAAACACTCCAAAGTTTTGCTAGAATTATTTTAATGTAATCTAACAAAAAACCTGTTGTTATAACTGAACAAATATGTATTCACCTTCAAAATTACAGTCAATATTTAAAATCAGTAAATGGATATTTAAAACAAGTAACTTAGAACAATATGAGACTTTAAAAAGTCTTAAAACCCTTCAAAGTCTGAATCAGTCTCTGATTCACCAAACAGTTCATTAAACTCGGCTTCAGTCACAGCTGCACCTGCATTGTCATCGTAGATGTCGGCAGTGTCGTCTTCAGACTCAGATTCCTTCTCATCATCGGCCTCTGTTGTGTCATCATCAAATATGGTATCTTCTGACCCATCGAGTGCATTGCTGATGCAGCATTTCCTAAATGATTTTTCTATCATTTCCGAGGCAATGGACACCCACGCGTCCTTGATCCACTGGGCGACCAGATTGATTTCGGGCTTCATAAGATTCCCGCCTTTTGTCAACTTCGCCATGCCTGAGCACATCCATTCAGACCACATTGTGCATAGCCTGTCTTTAAAGGGTTTGTTCAGGCAGACATCAAGTGGTTGTAGAACTGAAGTTAAGCCTCCAGGTAGTACAGCCAAAGTAGTTTTCATATTTTTGGCCACATTTTTCACCTCATCCATCTTGTGTGCCCTGAACGTGTCCCAAACGAGCACAGCAGGTTTCTTGAAAAGTGCTCCTGGTCTCTTATTCCACACTTTTTCCAGCCATTTAATAGTCCCACTTTCATCCATCCATCCATCCCTTTTCGTGTGCACGTACGATGACATGAGCAGGAAATTTCATGTTTTTAGGCCTGGTTTTTCTTTTAAAAATAACAACAGGAGGGAGCTTTGATCCATTTGTCAAACACAATAAAACCACCGTAAAATGGATCTTTTCATGGCCAGCGGTTTTAATTAAAACTGTTTTTTCACCAACACCAATTACTGTTCTGTTGCTCGGGAGACCAAATGTCATTGGTGTTTCATCCATATTTCCTATTTGTGACCATTCAAATGCATATTCCTTTTGATATTTTATAATAAACCTTTGGAAAGATTCGATTTTTTCTTCCAGATCTCTTGGCAGCTTTTGCACTATCTTTGTTTGCTGACGAAGACAGAGACCATGACGGTTCATGAAACAAGTACACCAACCCGCTGATGTGACAAACACTGACGGCTTTACTGACTTGTATTTGTCGTCTTTCAACATTTGCAGAGTACGCAGACGAATTCCAGTTCTAGTGACAATGTACCCATTTTGTCGACATTTAACAACCCAATTACTGAGATCTTTCAGGAAACGAAGCGCACCTCGTTGGACATTTTTTTCTTGCTTCTTGGCATATCTTTTAGTGTTGTTTTATTTTTTCGCCATTCTCTTACTTGCTTCTCATTGATACAGAATTCACGAGCAGCGGTGCAATTATTGTTTGCTTCTGC